CAGCCATTTACAGTGTGGGTGGTGTCATGCCACTGCTGTCAGAGTGAAAGCCAACGTCCTCACCATGGCCAGGAGGCTCTGAGTGGGCTCCTCCCGCTCTTGGTTGACACTGTCTCCATCCACTCCCTATCACTCTGCTGCAGCCAGCCTTGCCCCAGCCCTGTAACCCCTTCTTGCACTCCCCAGCCTGCAGCCTTTGCACCTCCTCATCTCTCCACCTAGGTGTGTTCAACAGACACAGGCTAACTCACATCTTCTTCAACACTCTGCCCTGGTGTCACCTCTTCTCTGGCATATTCCACCATGCCCAGGCCGCCCAGTCATGCCCACCCTGACCTCTTCCCATCTGCTCACCACCTCTCACACTCTAAATAATTTCCTTACATGTCATGGGTATTGTTTATTTTTCTGACTTCTTTCCTGGCTTCACTAGAATTTACATTTCATGCAGGCAAGAGTTTGGGACTGTTTTTTTTTTCCTCCTGATTTATCTCAATTGCCTGAAACAATGACTGGCACATATTAGACACTTACTACACCTTGGACAGAACACCCCTCCCGCCCCCCATCTTGACATCTGACCTCAGTCTCTGTGGGCGTTCTGGGTCTCAGGGATACTCCTGCAGCTCTCTACAGGGTGTTCTGTGGGCGCTGCAAACCCAGCATGCCCCAAACTAAGCGCCTCATCTTCCTCTCTCTCCACAAATGCACTTTTCCCCTCCACAGGGAAACCCTAATGCAAGCAGAAGCCTGGAGACCCTGAAATTCCCCATGTCTGGGAGCATCTAACAGCATCGGGAGCTCAGGTGAGCCTATCGGGAGGAAGCGACGCCTGGGGCAAGTCCTGAAGGGCAACTGGGAGCAGTGGGGACCGAATCAGCCCGGTGCTCTCATGGCGCTGAAGAGGGGCCTCCTGCAGCAGCCAGGGGTTCCAGGAGGGGCAGGAGCAAGACAGGCAGTGAGGCCACAGAGAGGCTGACTCGGGAGCAAGGGGTTTACGCTAAGAACATGTGATGGGCGTGGCCAGGAGACAGGGCTGCGTGTCATTCCCTGTCACTCGGATGATGGATCAGACAGTCAGGAGAGACTGGAGGAAGACCAGTGAGAGAGCGGTGACCGGTGACAATAATCCAGCCTGGGAGGGACGGAACTGAACAAGGACAGGCTGGAAGGCAGCCCATGAACGTGGAGACAGCAGACCTGATTCTGGAGGCATTTAAGATGTGGGGGAGAAGGACTCAGCGCCTGCTCAGGTGTGGAGGAAGGAGAGGGGAGGATGATGGAGCTCCGTGGGGCATCCAGGCAGAGTGGAGGCCGCACCACTCCCTGAGAGGAAGAGCACGGGGGCAGGGGCTGGACACAGGAGTTGGTTCTGCAGAGGGGTCAGGGGCGGCCTGGGGGTCGTCAGCTGGAGGTGACCACAGGAACCACAGGGGTGAGTACATTGCTCTGAGTATGGACAGTGGGGACAGAAGGCTGGGGCCACAGCACCAGACACTGAAGGAAAAGGGAGCAGAACAAGAGCCAAAATGTGGGCCCAGAAATGAGCCAAACGTTGCTGGCATCTGGGGACAGCCAGTCCCGGAGGTACGCGGCGACAGAAGCCTCATGGCAGTGGGAGGAGGGAGTATGACTGCCAGTGAGTCTTTATGTATGGGAGGAAGCGGGGCACGTCAGAGGCATTCGTGCGAATGTGCACCCCAAGAAGAGAGGAGACATGGGGACCCAGAGGTATCTGAGCAGGAGCAGAGACACATCATTGCCTGACTCATGCCCTGCTCTGCAGCTGCAATCAGGTAACCGGTGCGCAGACGGGGCAGGTGCTCCCAGAAAGACGGGCCATGCTGGGAGCAGGGTGCATCTTGCACTGTCCACAGGGTGCACTATGAGTGCAGGACCGTGAACAGGGTTGCCTCAGATTTCCCAACTTTTCAAAAGAAGCCAGATGTCGGTGCCTCTGTGTGAAATGTTCTGATTTTCAAAAACAAAGGTCAAAGTGAGAGTTTTAGTGAATTGTCCTCTGAAACGTGCAGGATAAATGACATCCCAATATACCCAATATACAGGCATGTGAGGAATGGGCTTGAAGGGTGCTCAGAAGCCACTGGAATTCTCACCGTGCCCCCCATAAAATCTGTCTCCCTATTTATGTTTAAGAAGCGGTTGCTCATGCCCATAATCCCAGCACTTTGGGAGGCCGAGGTGGGTGGATCCCCTGAAGTCAGGAGTTCGAGACCAGCCTGGCCAACATGGTGAAATCCTGTCTCTAGTAAAACAAATACAAAAATTACCTGAGCGCCTTTAATCCCAGCTACTCGGGAGGCTGAGGCAGGAGAATCACTTGAATCCGGCAGACAGAGGTTGCAGTGAGCCGAGATCATGCCACTGCACTCCAGCCTGGACAGAGTGAGGCTCTGTCTCAAAAAAAAAAAAAAAAAAAAAAGTCACAAATAATCTTTAATTGGATTATTCTTTAAAAATCAGTGCTGAAAGGAAATCAACGAGCAGACCTGCAGGCATAAAATAAATATCTTTAATATTTATTTTATTAAATTATTATCTTTATTTTTATTGTAGTTTTTCTATCCAAAATAGAAACTCCTCTTCATTAATCTGCTTCTCTTTTCTTCTTCCTGAATTATTTTAGCTGTTCTTATCTGTTTATATTTCCAGATGATTTCAAGAATTATTTCATCCTGTTTCAAGAAAAATAAAATTTGGTGAGATTTCAAATAGAATTGAATTAAATTTCAAAATTGATTTGGAGATGTTGACATCATTACAATACACTTTTTTTAACCTAAGAATATTCTAATTAGTAATTGTTGGTATATGGGAAGACTACATTTTAAATATTCATTTTGAAATCCTTTAATTCTAATAGTGCAGCAGATTTTTCGGGTTAAAAATCCTGTCATCTGGAAATAATGATAATTTTGTCTACTTCTCTATTGTGTTCTGTGGTAGCCAGTACAGTGGCACATTGTCACACAGCAGCAGTTACAACCAAGAGCCCTGTCTTCATCTGACCTTGGCGGAGTGGGAATGATCCTGGTATTTAGCTGTGGGGATGCTGCAGGCTGTTGCTTGAGGCTAGTATTATTTATCATATGAGGAAAAATCACTTCTTTGGGGATGACAAATGCATGAAAGCTTGGGGAGAGTTTTTAATCAAAGCCTTTTAGCATCAGCTAGACTTGAAATGTGATCCTCTCAGCAGATTTGCTGACCTCGAAGTCTCTTTGCATTGCGGAAATAATCATGCCAGCGCGACGTGAGCTCTTTTAATGTGCTGCTGGGTCCTGACTGCTGACATTTTATTTGAGTTTTGTAACGATAGTTAAAAAAAAAATCATTGATGCATAGTTTTTCTTCCCTGCAATCTTCATCAACCTTTTGTATCAGGAGTTTGCTATTTTGTAAAATGAATGGAGACTTTCCCACACTCTCTAAGGGTTTACCTAAGGTAGGAAAGATCTACTCCTGGCATAGCTAGAAGCTGGGCACAGGTCAAGTATGTGGGCCTGTCGGTTTTCTTTGAAGCAATTTTAACATCATGATGCTGCTGAGTTGTCTTCACTTCACTCCGTTTTCTCAGAAATAGACCTTTTTCTTGACGTTAACATTCACTCTTACATGATTGCTTTTAATAATCGTCTAAGCCCCCAGTCTTTCTTGTCATCTGTAAACTGAAGCTGTAAGAGGACCACTGAATAGAACACATATGAGGTGCTTAGTAAATAGCGCCAACCCTTCCTGTCATTTGGTGCATCTCCATCTGCAGTTTACTTTTTATAGTCTCTGAAATTGGGTTGCATGCTCATATTCTCCTGCTCGTTAAACTAGCTAGAGTTCCATCATTTTACTGTCCTCAACTCAGCCTACGTCAGAACAAGTTTTTGCTGCTATCGATCAATTCTATTATTTTTTCTAATTCATGAAAAATGATTTTTATGCCATTGTTTTTAGGAAAATGTGTTATCTGTGATTCTGCTTTGGAGAGAGATTGAACATTTTTTGATGCTATTGCAGATGATTTCTCCACGTTTTCTAAACAAAGGTGTATGTTTTCTCAGGGCTGTGAGTTTATTATCCCTCAAATCAACATTTCAAAAATTATATTATTCTAATTCTAATACTTGGCATTCTAATTTGCTTTTACCTTTGAGATCTGTCAAGTAGTGAGAGGCATGTACTAGAGTCTGCTGCTGCTACTTTATTTCTGTCTATTTCTTCTTCTTCTTCTTTTTTTTTTTTTTGTTTCTTTCAGATGGAGTCTTGCTCTGTCACCCAGCCTAGAGTGCAGTGGTGCAATCTCCGTCCACTGCAACCTCCGTCTCCAGGGTTCAAGTGATTCTCATACCTCAGCCTTTGGAGTAGCTGGAATTACAGGTGCCCACCATGACGCCAGGCTAAGTTTTGTATTTTTAGTAGAGACGGATTTCACCATGTTGGCCAGGCTAGTCTCGAACTACTGACGTCAGGTAATCTGCCCGCCTTGGCCTCCCAAAGTGCTGGGATTACAGGCATGAGCCACTGCGCCCAGCCCCTGTCTATTTCTTCTGATACTAAAGTCAGGTTTTTGCTGACTCTGTGTTGAGGATGTATTATTCACTAAAAGGTTTATAAATAAAACAGACCATTTGGGGTCTGAAATTTTACTTGATCAAATGTTAATTCTGCAATCATGCTTTCTTTTTGTTTGATTATACATCTGAACCTATGGTTGTCATTTCAACCTGAGTTGAAGTTTTTTGTTATGTATCTTGGCATATTACCACAACTACGTTTGCACCAACCTAATAAAATAGATTCTTTTTCTATGACTTGGGCGTTTTTTCCTTTTACTAGGTGAGTTTATCCTACTTACATTTATTGTCACAACTGACTTTTTTCTTGTTGTTTTTTTTCTTTTTTTTTTTTCTTTTTTTGTTGTAGTTAGTTTTAGGTGCTTTCTTATGATTTCCTTTATTTCTATATTTTTTGTTCTTTCAAGATTTATAGGATCTATATCCTTTTAAAAATCATGATTTACTATTAAAAATTTTAAGGACTCATATTACTCTAACAATAAACTCCAGGAATAAAACATAGCCTTTTGATTATCTCATCTGAAAATGAGGCAAAACACACTTTTTTTCTTATTACAATCTTATCCTCTCCCAAGTTTTTCCTCATGGAAAAACAATTAGATAATCAGTAATTGGGAAAAGAAGAGAAACTGGTTTAAATATAGTTACTGGCTTTAACTGTATTTAAGCCCAGTTTCCCTTTTTTCTTTTTGCAAACAATTACTATTTTTCATTATATATTATCTCAATAAACAAGGACAGACCTTTGCATTTTGTTTTGTAGCTATCTGGACAACATTTGCTGGAATTGTATATGCTGTGTTTGAATGTGGTTTTCTTCAGACGCTGTGTTTGAATGTGCTTTTCTTCACTGCCTGTGTTTTTATGCTGTGAAAGTCTTGGTCAAGGATTGTTATTATGTCTCAAGTTAATACCTGTGACATTTTGAGTTTCATATTGAGGAAGAGTTTAAAACTCCTACATGCAAATCAGGTGCTTGTGCAGGCTGCCTCTCTGTTACCCTCAGGCGTGAATACTTCCAGGTCTGGACACAATATTCGAGTTTCATATCCTCCAGCCCTCTCTAGATGTTTCTCTGCTGTTTTCTGGACTCTTAAGTTTTTGATGAAAACTAAAGCTAACTCAACGGATGTTCTATTTTATATACAAAATTATATATATTTTATTCTGGCTGGATGCCTTTAGGGTTTTTTTTCCTTGAAGTTCCAAAACTAGCCATGATCTCCGTGGTACCTGCTGATAATGCTGCTATCCTTACTCTGTTTACAGCCACCAAGCTGCCCAGCCAGTTGCCTCTGCCCTTCTTAAATTTTGCTGATTTGGAGCCACAAAAGGATTTCCAAATACTGCATCCATCAGCCATACACCCCACTCACACCCAGCCCTCAGCCCTCCTCCCTGCTGACCCAGACAACTGTGAGATCCAGACTCCCACCATCCATGTCCCCTGGGCCACAGAGCTCTCCGGGCACCCCGATGAGGCTTTCTGGACACCTTCTTCCCTCCCATGGGCAGGAGGGTGGTGACATCCTCAAAGACTCTTGGCTCTGGGCCGCCTTTCTTCACTAGCATTTGTGTCATGAGGATAGCCCTCTAGTTTTACATTTTATATGGAATTTCTCTTTTTCTTTAAAGATCTGGGATTTGAACACTAAGAGGAGAGAGAAGAGGGGGCAGGTGGTTGTGGTGGTGAAAATAAACACGTGCCACCACCCACTCTGCCAGCTTTTGCTGTACCATGTTAGTTTGGGCAGGCCCTTGTCACTCCTTTAACCTTCCCATCGACATTCACTCCCCTATGGCTTGTGGAGTTTCTACCGCGTGGTGGGAAGTGCTCTTAGTGCCTTGGTCCGTGGTGAGAGAGGTATAGCTCTTGTCCTCCGAAGCATGCGGCCCAGTGGGTGGGCAGCAAAAGGCACTTCACGAGCACCTTCCAGATAGAGTTTCCATCAGTCGTACAGCCCGGTCGCACCCAACCCACATCCCTCCTCCCTCAGGAACATAGCAAGTGCAACCAGGAGAGACAGGGCAGAGAGGGGGGTAGGTGTGGGGTGATGGGAGCCCAGAGGACGGCCACAGCAGAAGCAGCCAGAGTGGGGACGGGGCTGGGGGGCATTCCAGGTGCAAGAAAGGATGTCAGCAAAGGGTCAGGGACTCCACTTCATGCAGTTCTACGACACACACTACTGTGGTTTAAGTTCGTTTTGTGTTTAATCGGTATATGTAAAAGAAAGCTGTTTTATTAGATTTCATTCATGTAACTTCTAGGCACAATCTTGCTACCATTTATGGAATGACTACTGCATGCCAACATGAATCAGGTGTTTTAACAACTCCCTACATTTCCTATGTGTTTTCTTTAAGGATCTGTTAAATTCATATTACTTATTTATATTCTTAATAATTTACCTACTTATTCATGCTCTAATAGATGCCATCAATATAGTTCTATTTAATCTTTAGTTTCAGTTTTCTTTTCTGTATTTCAATTTCTCTACTATTTGGGGAAGAAAATTGCTGTTGATATTATTCTGCAGTTTCTGATCCATCCTCTGTTTTCATTACTCTTTGCAATATCATAATTGAAACCTTTGTCATTTTTAAGGCACATGATATAGTGCACAATACACTTTATGCTCATTCAGCCATTTAATCTATGTATATTTTTCAGTATAGATTCGGAACTATGGTCTGGGAAAGTGCTGACTTAGTGAATTGCTAATCCAGTGTGTAACCTTTTCTTTTTAAAGGACAATGTAGTATTTGCAAATAAGTAATGGTTCACTATTTTGAATAAATAATACACTCACGTGAAGCAAAATTCGAAAGACAGAAAAAGGGTTGCCATAAAAACATTTCCCTGCCATCTGTGTTCCAGTATCCTGCTCTCCCCCTCAGGGACGGTAAGTGTCCCCATCGCCTTGTGTGACTGTCACAGGTCGTCTGCCCTATTTACATACTTTTACTTGTATGAGCAGAGGCATACGATCCGTGCTGTTTCGAACATTTAAAACTGTAACTACAGACCTTGGAAACCATTCCATATCGACAGACAAACCTGCCCCTTCTTCAGTGACCACATAGTGTTCATAATAGGGATGTGACAAAACTTACTTAGCCCACCTCTTATTCATAAAAAATATGGTTGCTTCCAAGTCTTTTGCTTATTAATTCAAATATTGGCTTTAGGTTCGTTAAACCAACCGATGCCCTATATCCCCGTATTTCCTTCTGAAGGGGTCTTCTCTGCCTTTTTTTCTGAATAATACTATTCGTTTTGTGACTTTTTGTTTTCATTGCCTGTTAGTGTCACAGGGCAACCAGCAACTGTATCTACACATCTTTATAATTCAAGTGTTCTAGCCCACATCCACATGAGTTCACTGCTTCTGTTGTGGAAACCGCATTGAAAGGGCAGTGGCCCTGGTGTTAGAAGACTCCAGTCTGTGTCCTGGTGCTGCCCCGACCCTGGGTAAGTCCATGAACCTTTCTTTTTGAGTCTTAGACTTTCCATCTCAACATAGAGATGTAAGCCTTGTTTTTCCCACGACTGTAGTGAGGATTAACAGTTGTGATTTATGTTAAAATACACATGCAGGTGTGGGTGGACAGCTCCTCCCTCAGCGACAGGCCCCTTGAAAATGTTCTAGACTTCCTCCTCTCTGCTGCCATCTGTTTTCTCTCTTCCAGGATTGTGTTGCAATCTCTCCCTCGCTGATATTCCCCTCAGATCTACGGGGATAAGGATGTGGCCACTTTCCCTTCTTGGCCTGGGAGGCTCCGGCTGCCGCTGTGGGTGTGCCTGGGTCTGGGGTCTGGCTAACTTGGACCTGGGCCTTACCCCTGCTATGGTGTCTCTTCCTTCTGTAAAATCAACCCTAAAACCGGGCGACAGGTCATACATATATCTGACAATTTAGAAAGAACGCATCAGACTCAAACAATACACCCAGAAGCCTGGGGCAGTCTGGGCTCGTCACCTGGAGGACACCAGACACCCTGTGGACCCCCTTCATGGTTATCAGGTCCCTTGGAGAAGTCCAGATGGTGAAAAATAGGACATAGTTTTGAGACGGATGAGGGAGACTGGTGGTGGCAGGCTCAGGAGGGTGTTCCAGACCCAGTGTTAGAGGCTCTGAGACCTAGAATCTATATCATCGGAGGTTAATGCTTAACATGCATCAGGGTGGGGAGCTGCTTTTGTTCCCCACTGGTGCTCTGGGGAGCCGCGTGGTCTCTCTTTGCACCCAAACTCCCCATCCAAGTCCAGCTCCATTCTCTCTCTGCCCCAGCTGCCCTGCAGCCCTTTCCTCTTGCTCTTTGATGTTTTGCAGGCCCACAGCTCCCAAGCACAGAGGCATGAGCGGGGAGAATGTCACCAAGGTCAGCACCTTCATCCTGGTGGGCTTCCCCACGGCCCCGGGGCTGCGGTACCTGCTCTTCCTCCTCTTCCTGCTCACTTACCTCTTTGTCCTGGTGGAGAACCTGGCCATCATCCTGACTGTCTGGAGCAGCGCCTCCCTCCACAGGCCCATGTACTACTTTCTGAGCTCCATGTCTTTCTTGGAGATCTGGTACGTGTCTGACATCACCCCCAAGATGCTGGAGGGCTTCCTCCTCCAGCGGAAACGCATCTCTTTCGTCGGGTGCATGACGCAGCTCTACTTCTTCAGCTCCCTGGTGTGCACCGAGTGTGTGCTTCTGGCCTCCATGGCCTACGACCGCTACGTGGCCATCTGCCACCCGCTGCGCTACCACATCCTCATGACCCCGGGGCTGTGCCTCCAGCTGGTGGGCTTCTCCTTCGTGAGCGGCTTCACCATCTCCATGATCAAGGTCTATTTTATCTCCAGCGTCACATTCTGTGGCTCCAACGTCTTGAACCACTTCGTTTGTGACATTTCCCCTATCCTCAAGCTGGCCTGCACGGACTTCTCCACTGCTGAGCTGGTGGATTTCATCCTGGCCTTCATCATCCTGGTGTTTCCGCTTCTGGCCACCGTGCTGTCATATGGGCACATCACCCTGGCTGTCCTGCGCATCCCCTCGGCCACTGGCCGCTGGAGAGCCTTCTCCACCTGCGCCTCTCACCTCACCGTGGTCACCATCTTCTACACAGCCTTGCTTTTCATGTATGTCCGGCCCCAGGCCATTGATTCCCGGAGCTCCAACAAGCTCATCTCTGTTTTGTACACAGTTCTCACCCCCGTCTTGAACCCCTTGATATACTGCCTGAGGAATAAGGAATTTAAGAATGCCTTGAAAAAAGCCTCCGGCTTGGCTTGAGCTGTGCCATAGAGGGCAAGCTTTCTACCTTTCTGGAACTCCATCTCGGAATACACAACCAGCCCCTCTGAGGAGGCCATTTGACTGTCTGCATTATGGTAGTACCGCCTTCATTTAAAAATTACTTCCAAATCCATTTTTCTCTTTCCAGAAAAAAACTGAGGTTGAGGTTAATATCATAGGTATTGTTGTTGGTGTTGTAATACCAGTACTTTCTTCTTTTTATAGATGCGCAAAGCCATACTTAGTAAAGCTTAATAAATTTTCCTCGCCTTTAAAATGACCACGCACATTTCAGAAAGCAGCAAAACATGCCAGGTCATCTGAGATCGTAAAGTCCCCAATAAATTGCAGTGTGTTAAAGCACTGAAATGTTTAACCATGTGGCAAAATGAGCTCCACATGTCCCCAAAGCAAAATGTGTCTTGGAAGAGTAAGGACACGTAGCTTTCTGTTTTATACCCAAAGAATGTTCTCTGATTGTCCTGGATGGACGCCCCTCTGCCTTTTTCCTACGTAAACCCCTACTCCGTGCCCAGTCAGCTGCTGAGAAAATAAAAAGTGTTTTATTATTGCATGAGTTGATTCTGATTGAACCTAAATACACACAGATGCCCAGGCAGGCAGGGCCACCTCTGTCCTGTTCACTGTTGGACCTGGCAGCCCAGCACAGTGTCTGGTGCCCAATGGGCATGCAGGAGACAGAGGCTGGGTATGGGCTGGGTTGGACGTGTAAGGGATCCACAGTGCAAGGAGAGATAAAGCAAACCCAAGTGGGGGCTGCAGGGAGGGGTGGAAGAGGGTCACCTGGATGGCATGATATTTACACCTTAAAACAGGAATAGAGGTTATCCAATTTAAAGGGTGGAAAAGAGGAAGGGTGTTCAATTTCGATGATAGCAAAGCCTCAGAGGCAGGAAGCAGCATGGAGCTGTGCAGAGTTCAAAGATGCAGCATCACGGGAGCCTGGTGTTCACCAAGGGGGAGACCTGAGACAAGAAGAGGACAGAGCCCCAAGAGCTCACACGTATGGTGGGTCAGAGCCCTGAGAGCTCCCAGGCGTGGCAGGCAGATCAGGACCTGAGAGTTCCCAGGCATGGCGGGCAGATCAGGACCTGAGAGCTCACAAGTGTGGCGGGCGGATCAGGACCCTGAGAGCTCCCAGGCGTGGCAGGCAGATCAGGACCCCGAGAGCTCACAGGTGTGGTGGGCGGATCAGGACCCCGAGAGCTCACAGGTGTGGCAGGCAGATCAGGACCCCGAGAGCTCCCAGGCGTAGCAGGCAGATCAGGACCCCGAGAGCTCCCCGCGTGTCAGGCAGATCAAAGCCCCAAGAGCTCCCAGGCGTGGGGGGCAGATCAGAACCCCGAGAGCTCCCAGGTGTGTTAGGCTGATCAGGACCCTGAGAGCTCCCGGGTGTGGCAGGCAGCATGGACTCGTCTGGCAATTAAGGTGGGGGCAGAGGTACGTTCAGTTTCCTGCCTTGGACAGGCTATTTGGCAGGTGTGTGAGAGATGTAGAGGGGACCCCGTGGGAGGCAAGGAGGCTGTGGAGGAGGCTGCTGGGATTGTCCACGTGAGGGATGAGCACTACCCTGAGTTGAGCAATGGATGCAGGAGCTGGATGTAGTGGCCGGGCCCATTTGAGAGCCATGTAAGTGTTCAAATCAGCATTTGGGGTTAGAGCGGGAACACAAGGAACTGAGGAGTGCATCCAGATATCTGCTGGGGACCCAGTGGACGCCAGAGCTGAAGGAGGACGTGCAGACGAGCGAAGGCTGTTGGGGGCTAAGGGAGCGGGTTTGGGCTGTAACTGCCACAGAGGGCCCCAGGGAGTCAGAACTGGTGGCACCTGATCTTACAGTAGGCAAAGGGGTAATTCCTATCAAATGGGTAGAAATCAGATCCAGGTGAAGACTTGTTCCAAGGCCAAGGGAGATGTAGGATTTCATGGGAGGGCAGGATGGGGTAGCAAAGGGCTTCATGGGGTCTGATTTAAGGGATCAGGCTGACTTGGGGTCAGGAATTTAGAGCCTGCCTCTCAGCGGGTGTGAGCAGGAGAGGGCGTCGGGCTTGGGTTTTGCTTGCTCCCAGTGAAGGCTGGTGGTGCCTTGGCCACATGCACACCTGTTCATCCACAGCTCTTCATCCACAGCCCTTCATCCATGGCTTTTCGTTCATAACTTTTCATCAACAGATCTTCACTCATGGCCCCTCATCCACAGCTCTTCACCTATGGCCCTTCATCCATGTCTCTTAATCCACGGCTCTTCATCCACAGCCCTTCATCCATGGCTTTTCGTTCATAACTTTTCATCAACAGCTCTTCACCCATGGCTCATCCACGGCTCTTCACCCACGGCCCCTCATCCACAGCTCTTCACCTATGGCCCTTCATCCATGTCTCTTAATCCACGGCTCTTTGCCCACGTTCCTTTATCCACGCCTCTTCATCCACGGTCCTTCATCTGCGTCTCTTCACCCACAGCCCTTCATCCACGTCTCTTCACCCACGGCCCTTCATCCATGCCTCTTCATCCACGTCTCTTCACCCACGGCCCTTCATCCACGTCTCTTCACCCACGGCCCTTCATCCACGTCTCTTCACCCACGGCCCTTCACCCACGTCTCTTCACCCACGGCCCTTCACCCATGCCTCTTCATCCACGTCTCTTCACCCACGGCCCTTCATCCACGTCTCTTCACCCACGGCCCTTCATCCACGTCTCTTCACCCACGGCCCTTCATCCACGTCTCTTCACCCACGGCCCTTCATCCGCGTCTCTTCACCCACGGCCCTTCATCCATGCCTCTTCATCCACGTCTCTTCATCCATGCTTCTTCAGCCACAGCTCTTGCCTGGTGGGCTGCTCACAGCAGGGCGATGTCTTCCTACCATCCCTCTCCTTGCTGCTGTCTGCCAGGGCCACCTTCAACACCTGTCTTCTTGTTTCAAACACGTACTTTCTAATAAGCTCTTACTAAATCTATCTTAATCAACTCTGGCATCCATCCAGTCCTCTGCACATTTTTGAGCCAGAGACAACCAAGAAAACCTTCTTCAGCTCATACTGTTAAGTTTCATCCCACTCTAGAATTGACCTTGTGAGTCTGGTTTTAATATAGAAACTGTTTTGTAGTTGATCGCAGCATCCTCAGACTGCACAGAACCCTGAAGCCCATCTTCCTCTGTACCGGCCAGTTCCCTGCCAGCTCCCAGGTGGCCAGGTCTGCTCTCACCCTGTGGGAGGAGGGCCACTCAGACCCCTGGGAACCCAGTTGGCTTGGAGCAGCTGTCTGGGCAGGAAGGTTGCACAGTGGTGCGTCAACCACCACTGTACGTCCACCACCGGGAAATGATGAAGGTCTAAAATCTGCCTGTATCTGTATCTGAGTTATGGAGAAGTTGCTTTTCCTCCTCTGTACTCATTCTGACTGAGTTTGGATCTGTTTGCAGAGCTCGTGTCCACCCCATTAAAACCCACTTGTCACTTCCACATCTGCCAACCCCATGCTTGACACCCATGTTGTTGTATAGAAGCACCACTGTCCACTGACTGTCCACCTCCAGCTCATGTCCTTTCCAGAGTCCACTGTCCTTCTCTGGCCCCCTCTAAGCTGGTACAGAGTGAGTGCCGAGACTTCCTGCCACCCACAGTCAGGACCTCCCTCCTGGGCCTCCTGGGTGTCATGACCTTGAGTTTACCTCCTTTGTGTGCAATTGATCATCTGGGTCTCCACCCCTACTTAGCCGGCTGGGTCAGAGCCCATGTCCCTGCCTTATTTGGAGGAAGGGCACTAGGCTGGGTAGCCAGCCCAGGGACCCAGGCACAGGCTCAGAGCGATGCTACTGGTGCCATTCTCGGGGCTGTGGAGAGCTGATTTTCCATCCCAGGCAGCTGGGCCAGGACATGGTTTGTCTCCAGTTAAATTACTCCATAGCCTCTGTCCACACGCTTCTCTGGTCACAACTAACTGAGTCATTCATTCATTTACTCATTTATTCATCCAAGCACCTACTATGTGCCAGACACTCAAGGTAAACGATGAACAACATCGACAAAAATCTCAGCCCTCATACACTTTACATTCTATTAGATGACAGAGAAATACACAAAATAAATAGGTAAAATACTCGAATGGTATTCAGGGATACATGCTAAGGAAAAAAAAAATACATCAGCTCTAGTCAGCTGAAAAATGGCCCCAAAATATAGGTCTATGTCAAATCTCTGGAACCTGTGAATACAACTTTATTTGGAAAAAGGGTCTTTGCAGATGTAACTAAATTAAGGATCTGGAGATGGGGAGATCAGTGTGGATTAACCAGGTGGGCCCTAAATGCAGTGACAAGTGTCCTCATAAGAGCCTGCGTGACAGGCAGATCAGAGCCCCAGGAGCTCCCAGGCATGGCAGGCAGATCAGGACCCGAGAGCTCCCAGGCATGACAGGCGGATCAGGACCCAAGAGTTCCCAGGCATGGCAGGCATACCACCTGACTTCCAATTATACTACAAAGCTACAGTAACCAAACCAGCATGTTACTAGCATAGAAACAGACACATAGACCAATGGAACAGGACAGAGAACCCAGATATAAATCCACACATTTACAGTGAACTCATTTTCAACAAAGGTGCCAAGGACCTATGATGAGGAAAGGATAGATTCGTCAATAAATGGTGCTGGGAAAACTGGATATCCATGTGCAGAAGAATGAAACTGGACCCCCATCTCTCACCACATAAGAAAATTCAATCCAAATGGATTAAATACTTAAATCTAAGACTCAAAACTACAAAACCACTAGAAGAAAACATTGTGGAAACACTCCAGGACATTGGTCTGGGCAAAGAATGATTTTGTGCAAGACCTCAAAAGAACAGGCAACCAAAGCAAAAACAGACAAACAGGATTACATCAAACTAAAAAGTTTCTACACAACAAAGGAAACAAGCAACAGAGTAAAAAGGCAACCCACAGAAAATAATTACAAACTATCTATCTGACAAGGGATTAATAACCAGAATATATAAGGAACTCAAATAACTCAATGGCAAAAAAAAAAAAGCAAAAAAAACAAAACAAAACAAATAATCTCATTTAAAAATGGGTAAAATATCTGAATAGATATTTCTCAAAAGCATACATACAAATGGCAAACAGGTATGTAAAAAAATGCTCAACATCACTAATAATCACAGAAATGTGAATCAAAACCACAGTGAGATGCCATCTCATCCCATTTAAAATGGCTTTTATTTTTAAAAAGACAGGGAATAATAGTTTTTGGTGAGAATGTAGAGAAAGGAGAACGCTCATTCGTTGTTGATGAGAATGTAAATTAGTACAGCCACCATAGGCAACAGTATGGAGGTTTCTCAACAAACTAAAAAGAGAACTACCATATAATCCCACATTTCCACTACTGTATATATATCCAAAAGAAAGGAAATCAATGCACTGAAGGAGTCTCTGCACTCCCATGTTTACTGCAGCACTATTCACAATAACCAAAATATGGAATCAACCTAAGTGTCCATCTGAATGAATGAATGGATAAAAAAAGTGGTACTATATGCAGTGGAATATTATTCAGCCATAAAAGAGAATGAAATCTTGTTATTTGCAGGAACTGGATGTCATTATGTTAAGTGACATAAGCCAGGCACAAAGACACATATCGCATGTTCTCACTCATATGTGGGAGCTTAAAAAGTGGATCTCATGGAAATAGTAGATTGGTGGTTATGAGAGGCTAGGAAGGGTACGGGGGACTGGGGTGAAGCGAGGTTGATTAATGGATGCAGATATATAGTTTGATAGAAAAAATAAGACTGAGGTTAGAGATCAGTAAGGTGACTATAGTTTTCAGTAATCTATTGCATATATCAAAATAGCCATAATTTGAATGTTTCTGGTATAAAGACAAGACAAATATTTAAGGTGATGAATAGCCCATTTATACTAATTTGATATTTACAAATTATAATTGCATTCAATCGTATGTACTCCAAAAATATATACATCTATTATGCATAAATTTGAAAATAATAAACACACACTCAAGGAGACACACAGGAGAGATCTGACACACAGACCATGGGGAGGCGACGTGACCTGAGATGCAGAGATCGAAGTGTTGGTGCCACAGACCCTGAAGCCAGGAGCCCCCAGAAGCTGGGAGAGGCTGGACAGGGTTTCTCCCCTGGCAGCCCAAGCTGACTCATCTGGCAGGAGAGGAAAAAGGAATGTCCTGGCTGGGTGTGGGATTGTAGGAAGTGAGGGAACAGGCGGGCTGATGCAGAGGGAGAACATTCCAGAAGGCACAGTGAGTCCCAAAGCCCCAAGCAGGGTGGCAGGAGCCAGCCTACTTGAGGAGCACCTGGGGCCATAGAATTAAAGTGGAGAGAACAGGGGAGGTCAGAAGAACTGGACCAGAGAGGAAACAGAAGTCAAGTGGGACAAATCCTTCCCTCAGAGGGTGTGGGCTGCACAGGAACAAGGGTGACCCATGGACAGCAGCGCCTTCAGTAGGGAGTGTGGGAGATAGCCACTGAGGAGGGTGAAGGGCCCAAACGGGGGGGCCAGGAGTGGCTCAACAGCCTCTGCTTGGATGCCCTCAGCCAGGCAGGGGCCAGCCTGGCCCCAGAGGCACCGGCTCACCTAATTGGCAGTGTGGGCCTTTCCATCAGCAGGGGGATAATTGGACCCTGGAGTCCCTGTGCTCATCAGAAAAAGCCACAGTGGTGTCTCCCCAGTGCCTCAGGCAGCCCACTTCTCAAGAGCACGTTCAAGGCTTGTCTGGTCACTGTGGCCAGCCTGGGAGTTGCTGGACACAGGCAGAAGCTACTCTTCACTCCTGCAGGCAGCTGCAGCCATTTGCAGTGAGGCTTCCCGACAGGCCAGGTAGGGTCCAGCACTTTCCAAGTTGCTGATGGGCTCATTTTGCTGTGATTTTAGGGTATGATGTATTCCTTGCTTGGGGAGAGAGCTCTTCGTTTGTGTGTGTGATTGACACTCCCCACTCCACATGCCCCCCACATACAATCTGGGGCAGGGATTCCCCTCTGCAGTCTCATGGCCAGCACCAAGCAGGATGGCTCATGGATGCTCCATAAGTGGCCCTTGCATTTTTGAGTACTGTGCTGAGCACATATTCATAGGCATCGGGTTATGCCCTGATGTCTAACATCTCACCCAGAATTAGCCAGCAGCCTCAGGTGGCTGAATGGGGCAGAGAGCATCTGCTCACTCATCGTTGATGAGGATTGGTTCTAGGTGGCTCTGCCAGGCACCAGGGAAGGCATCAGAGTAAATGGCGGCAGGCTGATGGTAGGTGCAGCCGGGAGGAGCTACCGCAGTACCCGTCTCATGGACCACCCCAAAATACGTCCGCTCTGTGGCATGGAAAGCTTCACTTTCCTCTCTCAGATTGGAGACCTAGGTTTGAATTCGTGACTGGGCAAAAACAGTCTTTGTAACACATTGGAGAACCTTGTTTATGATGAGAGGATGCCAGCCTCCCTCGGCAGCATCCGCTTGGCCTTTCAGTCTGTCTACAGAAACCAGGGAGGCACAGCCAAGTTAAAAAGGCAGCCGTGCCCGCAGCTATGGGGGACCCTGGAACAGAAACGGGCATTTGAGGAAAAAAAGATGAACGCCAAAGTCTGGAGTTCAGTCCACTGTAATACCAATGTCAATCCCTTACTTTGATGAACAAACCCTCTTCATGCAGGAGGAAGCTGAATGCAGGGGCTCCCGGGGCTCTCTGCACTCTCTTTGTAACTTTTCTGTAAATCTAAAATGATTCCAAAATAAAAAGTTTGTTTAAAAGAAAATGCAGCCATTGTCTAAAGTTCAGGGGATGGAGACAGTGTGTTGTAAAGGGCCCTGAATTTGTCAAGTAACACAGTTTCAATTTAACGAATCAATCTGGTATTAACTAGCCAACCCATTAGAGATCAGTTACCACTATCCAAATCAAGAGAAATCTATAGGGGCCTCCACTGTCCTGGGTTAAAAGCATAAGAACCAAAGCTCGCTACCCCCACCGCCAGCTCTCCCCAGCAAACCCAGTTGACAGGTGGGGGCCGCTGGCCTTCCAAGGAGCTTCTGTGGCCCCCAACTTTCCTCCTTGTGGACTTTAAAGCCCTCTGTGGCCACTCAGCTGGGAAAGGCACACAGTCACCACCCTGGATGGTGTCTAAAGAGGCAACATTCAGACTCATATCTGGAGATCCCTTTAACGGCAGGGGTTCTTATTGCTTTTGTTTTGGGGAGATAGTAGGCAGTGACTGCAGTGAGTAGCAAATGCTTGTGAAATTGATCCTAAACTCTGAACTGCACGCTGGCATTTTAAGGCAGGGAATGGCCATGCCACCCCAGTGGGTGATCTTGAGTTCCCACAGAATGCTCACCCTAGACAGCAGGAGTACAGGTGCGTTTCTCAGTATAAACCTGTCCCTGGACAATTCCTTTCTAGAATTTCGTTTTTCAGCCTGGAACTCATCCATGAACTCCAGACTCGTATAGCCAACCCCCTACATGTCACCGTGAGGCTTTCCAGGAAGTGCCGTGCACCACACCTCCCCCAGCACAGCCTCCCGATTATTCGGCACCCACCTGGCCCTCCCCTAGTCTTCTCATCAATTTTCAGCATTCTGGGCCAGAAACCTGGAGTCACCCTCCTCAGCTGTGAGCTGGTGGAAGTCTGCCATTCAACCACCTAGACTGCCAGGAAGCAACCACCAGGTGCCCTGCGGGGCAAGGGGCTGCGGCTACCCTCTCTCTCCCTCGCCTGTGGACCAGGTCCCCGAGAGCCAGGCAGCCCTCTCCTGGGAGCCCTCCCTGCATTCCTCTGGCTGGTTAGCCCGGTTTGGGGTCCTGCCCTGGTAGGCTGATAGCCCCTCACCTCGGGCCAAGGTTGCTGCTGTGACTTGCAGGAACCCTCAGGTGAAGGACCCTAAGGAGGGCCAGCTCTGTGTCCATGCCCACTTGGATTCTGAGAGCTGCCCCGAGCATGTGTGGACTGGTAGTGCCCCTAGACTCAGAGGTTTGGGTTTCACCCACCCAGGAGCTGCCCGGCTCTGTTCCTCAGCATATTCTCTTCCTAATTCCTACTTCATGGTTATATCTAAATGCAAGCACACAGAAGTTTTCTACTTTAAAACTCAGAAGATCAGCAGATCACTGCTCTCTCCTGGTGTTCTCAGGAACCGTGTGGCCTCTCTTTGTACCCAAACTCCCCATCCAAGTCCAGCTCCATTCTCTCTCTGCCCCAGCTGCCCTGTAGCCCTTTCCTCTTGCTCTTTGATGTTTTGCAGGCCCACAGCTCCCAAGCACAGAGGCATGAGCGGGGAGAATGTCACCAAGGTCAGCACCTTCATCCTGGTGGGCTTCCCCACGGCCCCGGGGCTGCAGTACCTGCTCTTCCTCCTCTTCCTGCTCACTTACCTCTTTGTCCTGGTGGAGAACCTGGCCATCATCCTGACTGTCTGGAGCAGCGCCTCCCTCCACAGGCCCATGTACTACTTTCTGAGCTCCATGTCTTTCCTGGAGATCTGGTATGTGTCTGACATCACCCCCAAGATGCTGGAGGGCTTCCTCCTCCAGCGGAAACGCATCTCTTTCGTCGGGTGCATGACGCAGCTCTACTTCTTCAGCTCCCTGGTGTGCACCGAGTGTGTGCTTCTGGCCTCCATGGCCTACGACCGCTACGTGGCCATCTGCCACCCGCTGCACTACCACGTCCTCGTGACCCCGGGGCTGTGCCTCCAGCTGGTGGGCTTCTCCTTCGTGAGCGGCTTCACCATCTCCATGATCAAGGTCTATTTTATCTCCAGCGTCACGTTCTGTGGCTCCAACATCTTGAACCACTTCTTTTGTGACATTTCCCCTATCCTCAAGCTGGCCTGCACGGACTTCTCCACTGCTGAGCTGGTGGATTTCATCCTGGCCTTCATCATCCTGGTGTTTCCGCTTCTGGCCACCGTGCTGTCATATGGGCACATCACCCTGGCTGTCCTGTGCATCCCCTCGGCCACTGGCCGCTGGAGAGCCTTCTCCACCTGTGCCTCTCACCTCACCGTGGTCACCATCTTCTACATGGCTATGATTTTCACGTATGTCCGGCCCCAAGCCATTGATTCCCGGAGCTCCAACAAGCTCATCTCTGCCGTGTACACTGTTGTCACGCCAATAATTAACCCATTGATCTACTGCCTGAGGAACAAGGAATTTAAGGATGAATTGAAAAAGGCCTTGGGCTTGGGTCAAACTTCATACTAAGACAACTAAATGTCCTAGGGTAAAAATCTGTAGTGATGAAACAACATTGTATACGGCACTTTGTGCTCTTTGAATTAATTTTTAAGTGAAATTTAACAAACCTACAGAACTGTGCACAAGTAATTAGCCTTCGTCTACATATGTTTTCACAAAAGGACCGTGCTCATGGAACCAGCTCCCAGATCAAGAACTAGAAGCTGCCTTCATGCCCTCTCCCAGTCATTATCCCTCCTCCACGAGAAGCACTATCCTGACTTCCAAAACCAGATGCTAGCATTGGTGTTTTTGAAGGGTTTATGCATAAAGTATGCACCCTGTTATGTTCAGCTTCTTTCATTCACTGTGCTGCCTGCCCGAATCCTTGATGTTTTTGCATGTAACAGTAACTCATGCATTCTCATGGCTGTCCAATATTCATAATTCATAATACATTTATACTGCATAGTACATAAAGCATAATACATTTAAACTGGATAATACATATACTGGAATAATGCATATACTGTATTATGTATTATGTATACATAATACATTATGCTGGGAGAAACCCTGTCCTGCCTCTCCCAGGAGGCATAAGCCGCTGTGCTTGGCCACAATTTAGGTATCTAAATATAGAAAAGGTAAGTAAAAATGTAGTATCATAATCTTATGGGACCACCATCTTATATGCTGTTCGCTTCATCATTCACCAAATGTCGTTATGTGGTGCGCTACTGTGTCAGTTGAGAATATGGCTTATTTCTGGATCCTCTGTTCTATTTAATTGATCTCTGTATCTATCAATATCACACCCTCCGTCCACACTACACAGTCTTGATTGATATGATTATGTAGTAAATCTTGACACTGGAAGAATGACTCCTCCTACTTTATTACTCTGTTTCAAAATTCTTGTGACTATTGTACGGCCTTTACATTTTTATACAACTTTTATAGTAAGCCTGTCTATGTCTACAAGAAAACCTTGCTGAGATTTTGCTAGAAATTCCATTAAACCTAAAAATCAATTTGGGAAGAACTGACTTCATGACTCTGTTGAGTCTTTCAATCCATGAACATCGTAAGCCCCTCCAATCACTGCGGTCTTCTTCATTGTTTTAATCAGTGTTTTGTACTTTTTAGTATGCAGATTCTGTGTATGTGTTGCTGGATTTAGACCTACATATTATATTTTCTTTGAAGCAACTGTAAATGGTATTCCATCTTTTATTTCAGTTTCCGTCTGTTTGTTGTTAGTATGTAGGATGCAGTTGATTTTCATATGTTGACGTTTCAGTCTGCAAACTTGCTGCGCTCACTCATTAGTTCTAGGAATTGTTTGTAGATTCCTTTGGGTTTTCTATGTGAATAGTCATGTCAACTAAAAACAGAGTTTTATTTCTTCCTTTCTGATCTGTATGAATTTTATTTTTTGCCTTCTTGCATGGCCTATTACCAGAACTTCCAGTGCTCTGTTGAATAAGAGTAGGCAGAGCAGAAATCCTTGCCTTGTTTCCTACTTAGAAGACGAGCACTCAGTCTTTCATGATTACGTACAATGATGCAGTTTTCGTGCATGTGCTTATCAAGCTGAAGCAGTTTGCTGAGAGCAGTTTTTGTTTTTACCATAAATGAGTATTTAGTTTTGTCCTTATTTGCTGACAGCAGTTTTATTTGCTGATAGTTTTTGTTTTTACCATAAATATTTAGTTTTGTCCTTATTTGCTGAGAGCAGTTTTATTTGCTGAGAGCAGTTTTTGCTTTTACCATAAATGAGTATTTAGTTTCGTCAAGTGATGCAAAAAACTGCATCAGGCAATCTGGTCATAGATTTTTTCTTTCACCTGCGGATAAGGTGTATTACATTGGTTGATTTTCAAATACCAGATTAGCCTTGCATCTTTTGAATAAATCACCTTGGGTTGTGGTGTATTATTCATTTCATATAGTGTTGGATTCAATTTGCTAACATTTTGTTAATGATTTTTGTGTCTATGTTCATGAGCGATAGTAGTCTATTGGGGTTTGAAGTTATTTTCATCCTGTCTTTGTATGGTTTTGGTATCATAAAACAAGTTGCAAAGCCTCTTCTGCTTTCTGGAGAAGATTGTATAAAGTTGTTTAAACATTTGCTAAAATTCTCCAGTGAGATTATCTGGAACCGGGAATCTTCTCTGGCGGGGGGTGGGAAGTGGGTTGTGTGTTAAAATTGCAGATTCAGCTTCTTTAATGGGTACAGGACTGTTCAGGTTATCAAATAATTAACAGATTAGGGCTCATGTCTGCTGTGTTTTGTCTTGTTTCCTTTGCCTTTTTTTTTTTTTTAACCTTCCAATGAATACAGTACATTTTTTTAGAATTCAATCTTGATTCACTGATAATGTCTTGGGAAATATCATTAGGTATAGCTTTTGTAGTGGTTGCTCTAGGTATCACAGCACACAGATGTAACTTCTCACAACCTATTTGTGTGGATGTTTTACTGCTTCAAGGGGAGTATCACAGAATTCTTTCATGTAGGTGCTTTTACCCTCCCCATTTTTTATATAGTGATGGTCGTATTTCCTGTATGTGCAGTAAGCACTACATCGACGATGTTATGATTTTTGTTTTAACCACCAAATATAATTTTAAAAACTCAGTGAGGGATCGTTTACTATATTTTTCTATTTTACCTATTCTGTTGTTCTTCCTTCCTTCTGAAGGCCCCAGCGTTCTTGTGTTACTTTCTGTTTGAAAGCTTCCTTTAGCCAAACTTTAAAGGGGGGAAGAGCTCACTGGAAACAAAGTCTCTTAGATTTTTCATCACCTGAGAATGCCTTCGTTTCTCTCATCCCCCCCACCCACCAAAGAATCGTTTTGCTGGGTGTAGGATTTGCTGCCCAGCGGGGCTCCTTGTTCCTCTGGATTGACGAGCCCTCCACCACCACCAGGTGAGCCAGGCACCATCAACCAGAAGCCCCGCCTCCATGGATTTTATCTCCTTCAGTCCTGAGGCCCTGGAATCCAGCTCCCGATGAGTATGTCCAGGGAGAAGGCAGTGTGAGAAGTGCCTGACACGGGGAGCCAATTTCCAAAATATAATGGTAGGTAATAAATAATACCAAATGTTCAAAAGAAGCTTTAGGACGGCGACGTCCGGTAATTATTTAATTTTATATTGTTTCCTATGGTGATCTCTCTCCTTTTCTTATACCATCAGTAAAAGGTGAAACACTAGAATCTTACCTTAGAAAATAAGATAAAGGCGTGTCTTCACCTGGGGTAAAGCTGATGAGAAAAATCTGAAAACGTCCCCGCCATCCCCCATTCATTTCCCAGAATTCTCAGAAACACCGAAAAAGATGCTGGGCTTTCTAGAGATATGGAGATGTGAAGGGAGGCCTTGAGTCCTTCTATTTGAAGATTATAAGCTGTGACTCAGTGGGGCTGGAGGATTCAGGGCTGTCTGGTTACACCCTCCAGTTGTATGTGTGTTCACACAACTTTCTTTGTGGCATATGTGATGTGTCAGGAGCTTTGCATGGGGCTGGGGGCACAGCGAAGGATGTGGACGTGGTCCCTGCTCACGGAAAAGAGTCTAGACCAGTATTTCTCTCATGTGGACTATTTGCATCAGAATTGGTTGGAAGATTGTTAAATGGATTTCAAGGTCCCTCCAGGATCTGAAAACCAGGCCCCCCCCTGCGTTGGGGACGGGGAATCCGTATTTCTGACAAAAAGCAATTCTTCAATTATGGAAACATCCATAGAACCGGCCTTAGTTTACACAGCCGCATTCCCACTGTTTTACAATCGCATGATCATTTCTGAAAAGTTGAAAACAAAGTTAAAGAATATTTCAGGGGTTAAGAACAAAAAGCCCGAGGAACACAAAAGATCATAAAAACCCTTCCAAACAGGAGGCGTACTTGGAAGGAAACCTCACACGCAAGGTTCCTACGTGGAGCCCAGAGCCCAGGTCCTGACGGGAGCACAGGTTTAAGAGATGGACTTGGAGCGTGTGCTTTTCCGTTTGTTTTCCCCTCTATTCAATGTGTTCACAGCAGGTCCCCTGGATGAGACCACTCAGCCTTCAGCCCCAGAGGCGACCCAGGCCGTCCTTGCCAGGTCCCTGTCCCGGACTGGCGCCCCGCGGCAGAGGTTCCACCCCGTCCCTCCGCTCCTCGCCCCGCTTTCCCCGTTTCCCTCCCCAGCTAGAACGTTCTGAGAGCTAGGAACGTTCTCTAGGAGGTCGCTTTGACGTCCACACCGCGCCTGCGGGATTCGGGGACGCGGGGAGCACAGGACCCTGGGACGCAGGACCCTGAGACGCAGGACCCTGAGACGCAGAGGTCGCTCCACGCCCGGGGCTGCCTCAGCTCTCCCGACACTGCAGCAACTCAAAACCTAGGCAGGGGCCGGGCAGCGAGCCTGCTGCCCCCACCCTCACCTCCAACCCCCGCCTCTCAGCCCTCAGCCCAACCCGCCGGACCCCCGGCAGCCCGCTGGCGATCTCCGCGGAAGCCCCCGAGGGCCTCGGCGCAGCACCGCCCGGACGCGCCGCTAGAAGGTTCCCGACAGGCGCCGCGGGCACCCCAGCCGTGACGTCACGGCAGCGCGCCTGCCGCAGGAAAGGGCCCCGCCGCGACCGCGTCCCCTTGGGTCCTTGAGCCTGAGCTGAAGGGGTAGCCATGGCCTTCCGGCTCCTGAAACTGGCCCCGACGACCGCGTCCGTCCGGGTCCTGGCGGCGGGCGCCCAGCGCGTGGTGAGCGGGCAGCGGGCGGCGGCGGGCGAGGTGGGGGAGGGGGGCAGTTCCACATCTCACCCGGCCTCTGGCGGCGGCTCCCAGGGTCGCTCTCGGGGTGGGTTTGGGGGACTCCTCCGGCCTCCGGAATTGTTTGGTCTTTGGTCGTGGACAGACTTCAGGGGGGCCACGAGCTTCTGCAGGCCATTTTATCTCAGCTTTAAGCAAAACGCTGGAGCGCGGAGGTGATCGCCCGGAGGCTGCCCTGATGCGGGAGGCCAGTGTGCGGGTGGCAGGCCGGGGGCACGCGCGCTTGTCATTCGATAATTCACGTAGCAGCCCTGTCAAGAGCCATTTAAAGGTCGGGCCCTGCTAGGTGCTGGGGTGAT